ATAGATAGAGAGATAGAAAGAACGAGATATAAAGAGAGAGCGAGATATGAAAGGAAGCTAGAGCGATAGAGAGATAGAGATAGAGATAGAGATAGAGATAGAGATAGAGATAGAGATAGAGATAGAGATAGAGCTAGAGATAGAGATAGAGATAGAGATAGATACAGATATGTGTATATATAGAGATAGAGATAGATATGGAGATAGATATAGATGTAGATACAGATATAGGTGTAGATAAACATATAAGTGTAGATATAGATATAGATATAAGTATAGCTATAGACATAGATGTGTATATATATAGAAGTATACAGGTAGATACTTGCGACCGAACCACGAGGGAGGTCCCAGTCAATGGCGATCTTCATGGAGCCCTGCCGCAGGGCCTCCAGAGGCCGCGTGTGGCTGAAGTCTAGACAAGAGCGATTTAGGGTTTAGGTTTTGGGAGCCTGCAAAGACTCTGAGGAAGTCCTGAGAAGGCTTTGCGAGTCGAGTATAAGCTTGGACCTGGGAGGCCCATCAACACCCCTCTAAATCCTTATCAGCCCCTGCCTGGAGCCCTAAGCCCCATACCCTCATCACTCGAATCACTGGGCGTAGACGTTGCGAGCCCTCAGCTGCAGTTACAGCCCCTCCGGAGTGGCCTTGCCCAATTCACGGGCCCGGCTCACCGCATTGGCCAAGGCCGATAGAGGTTCAGGGTTTCGGGGCCCTTTGTTGAAGCAATAGAGGCTTAAGAGGGTTCAGGGTTCAAGGTTTAGGGTTGGGTTTAAAGTGTTTGAGACTGAGGGTTCGTGGGGGGTTGCAGAAGGGTTCTGGGCTGTTGTTGAGGGGCTCTTTCAAAGTCCTGCACGGTTCAACCGGCTTTCTGCCTAGACCTCGGGGTTGTGGCCGATGCCAACTCCTCAAGATGACCTATTACTATCGCCGATGTGTTCCAAACAAGCCCTCGATCCTGACTCATGAATAAGCTGTGGGCTGGAGGACTCTGCTTGCTGGCACGATTTTGGCATGAGGGATCTGGCACTTTAGGTCGACATGTGACATGTGGGTTGAGATGCCATTGAAAGCTTCTGCGCCCATCGAGTGGACAAATGACAGCTGGAACGTGGCGGCGGGCAGTGAAAACCATGCGTCTGTGGCAACGGCCAACAATGGAAGCCGAGTGGGGTCAACATCATCACCGAAAAAATTATCGGCTTTGAGAATGATGGTAGGACTCATGCGACGAGTATTGCATATATATATATATACACATATATGTATGTATGTGTGTATGTCTGTATGTCTGTACGAAAGTATGTATGAAAGTATGTGTATGTATGCATGCATGCATGCATGCATGCATGCATGCACGCATGCATGCATGCATGTATGCATGCGTGCATGCATGTATGTATGTATGTATGCATGTAAGTATGTATGTATCATTTTCCCCTCCGCTGAAGCATCGCCCCGGAGGGCTTGGCAAAAACAAGCAACTCAACATCAAAATGAAGGTCCGCTCATATTGGGGAGTCCACGCTATACGGAACCCCGAAAGGGGCCATTATTTTGATAAACTCCCGGAGCACTAGGCACAACAGCGAGGGAAGTCTTGAGAGTTCTGTGCACATCACCCCACTCTCCTGGCTATGAGACTAACACGACCGTAAGCAACAGCTTTGTGACTAATAACCAGTAAGCTTCCTTCTCCTTGCTTTGTCAGGGCACAAACCACCAGTACATTTGGCTGCAGACTGACCCAAAGCTGCCTTGCCGCCGGGCCACTCGGCCAGCAGCGGCTCCGCCAAATGCTTCGGGTCTAAGACTTTCCCGCTTCGGCTGCTATAGGGGTCCAAATCAGCTCGGATACCAAAACGACGAGTGCGAGCAAAGATCTGCCATCGAGCTTGAGGGTGTTCGCATACCATGACAAAGACATCATCATAATCATATCGTTTCGAACCCTATATTCCTTGCCCTGCCACTGTGTGAGGCAAGCAATTCACAAGGTTTGTGAGAGCTCATTGGGAGTTGTGACCTGCTCTACTGGGCGTAAGCTTTTAACAAATGAGCTCTCGCAAGTCCGCTGCAGGCGACATCGCTGTTGGAAATTCTTGGAAAATGCTGTGATACTGGTGCGCAAGCCCCTGGCGCACAAAGCAGGCAACCCAAACTGCTGGTCCTTTGACCATGCGAAACTGCGATAATTTTCGCGGTTGCCGCCAGGCATTCTCACGGCCGCATGCAGTGCAACAGAGCACACTGCACAATCCCATCGATGACCTTTCTTTGGGGGTCGGGAGATGTGTGTGTGTGTGTACATACATACATACATACATACATACATACATACATACATATGTATGTATGTATGTATGTATGTATGTATGTATGTATGTATGTATGTATGTACGTACGTAGGCATGTGTGTGCATATTTATGTGTGTGTATATATATATATATAGTGTACGTATTCTGGGTGTGCATACATGTATTTTTGTATAACAATGTACATGTATGTCAAGTCTACGCGTATGAACCTACGTACGGACACGGAGAGATCGAGAGACGGAAAGGGAAAGAGGGAGAGAGGGAGAGAGAAAGGGAAACGTAGATGACGTTGTAGTCAGTAGCTAGCCCTGTATCCCAAGCTCAACCACCCCCGAAGCTTCAAAAAAAAGAAACTCGTGATCTAAAGCAGCCTCTGCATCTCAAGAACCTGCTACCCCTACGCTGCACGATTGGAGACTTCTTGGCGGACTTCAACGCCCGCGCTGTGCAAAGCACTCAACCCCGAGAAAGGAGAGGCCGCTACAAACCTTCACCATCAAGAATTTTCTGCGGTGAGCTCTTTCGCCTGACTGGCTTGTCGAACCTTGTGCCGAAAAAGTGTGCCTTGTGCTGTGCCGCTTCCTTACACATACAAGTCGGCAACCATAGTTCACAAACGCATGCACCGCGTGCATGCGAACATGTCTCGGAGTGTTTTAAGACAATCCGAAGCCAACGCAAACATTACGGTACTACGGTAACAAGCAAAACAGCTAGCCACCGACACGACAAGCGAAGAAACCCAGCCGCACCTCAGACTGGCATCCCCCTCTGGGGCGCCGCTTGCTGCAGCGCGGGCGTTGCGGCCTGCGGCGGCCCAGGCTTGAGGTGGTCGACACGTGTCACGAGTGGTGGGGGGAAAGGGCGCCTTGTGTGATTCTGTCCGGCTAGAAGGCAGCCAGCTGTAAGTAAGCCGACAGATTCAGCAAATCTGAAAGTGTGCGAGCCCGTGTGTCTTTCATCGATGTCCGAAGTCTTTGTCACCTTCTGCTAGTAAATTCCGACACTACTCTCGCCTGCTCTAGGATTATGCTCTCCGGAAATACAGCAAAGCACTCTGCCGATTCTAGGTGGCCGTATGTACATGTTCTTCACAACTAGAGCGCATTGAGGCAGGAAATGCTGTTACACCATGGCAATGCTCGATTACAACCTTCCAGCAGTCTTCTGCTCCTAGGTGACAAAGAACTGCCGTGCCAGTACGCTCTGTCAACGTTTCCGCATGCCTCACAATTTTGTCGTGTGCCTGCACAAAATCACCAAAACACGCTACGTAAGACGTTGTATGTTATTCGCTTGACTTCCCTCACCTCCCCGCTACGTCAACCCCTGACAAGTCAAAAACCGAGTCTAAGTAGGACTCTGAGAAACGTCCGTCCCTGCAAAGCCCAAAGGATCCAAGAGCTGCAACAGCCTACTGAACCCCTAACAATGGACCTATAACTCGTAAACATTCTCATATCTTCCTATACATACATACATACATATATATATATATGTCTATATATTTCTATATATATATATGTATATATTTCTATATATATATATATATTCCTCTATATATATGTATATATATCATATGTGCACCTTAATTACACCTGAAGCCCCAAACCCTAGGCCTGGTGGCCCTGCTGCCCCAGCAGCGCCTGTTGCCACTGCTGATTCTGCCTGGGACTTGAGGAAGCAATTCCATTTATCATTCAGTTAAATGGAATCAGGAATCTTATTTGAGATCATTAAAAGAAATATATATATATATATATATACATATATATATATAATAATTTTTGGGGAGAATGTCTCACGGCCTTGGGCAGCATACGCTGCTCCGAGCAACAGCAACAGTCAGCATGATGATACTGACTGTGGAAAGGTTTGCTTCAAGCATCGCGATCTTTTTGCAATACCTGAGCACGGCTTGCCAGACTCATCTGAGGACAGCACAGCTGCTGCGGTTGCTGAATCGGCTGCTGCTGCATCGGCTGCTGCTGAATCGGCTGCTGTTGCGGCAACGGCTGCTGCTGCTGCTGAATCGGCTGCTGTTGCATCGGCGGCTGCTGTTGAATCGGCGACGGCTGCCGAATCGGCTGCTGCTGCTGGATCGGCTGCTGCTGCTGCTGCTGCTGCTGAATCGGCGGCTGCTGTTGAATCGGCGGCTGCTGCTGAATCGGCGGCTGCTGCTGAATCGGCGGCTGCTGCTGAATCGGCGGCTGTTGCTGCTGAATCGGCGGCTGTTGCTGCTGAATCGGCGGCTGTTGCTGCTGAATCGGCTGCTGCTGCTGAATCGGCGGCTGCTGCTGCTGCTGCTGCTGCTGAATCGGCGGCTGCTGAATCGCACCTTCCAGCGCGCTTAGAGTGTGAAGTTCAGCCCGTCTCAACTCAAGCAGACTTCCACTAACCTGCCATAGCGCTGCAAACTCAAGCACGGCCGACACTGTGGCCTTGCTGCATGGGGAAGTTGCCCTGCTGGAGATTCTGGGGGTTCCTTGGCTGCTCGATACGAGGGTTGCAGTCGTTAGTAGGACAGCACGCACATGTTCCTGGTACAAGTAGAGATTCGATGCTGAAATACAAGGCTCCTCAGGTACTTCTGCTTCCACTTGCGCTTAATGCGAGGATTGCGTCGGAGCAAGCTGGGAGCACGAGCAGGCCAAGTATAAGACAAGCGTCGCTTTGGCGGAGCTATAGTTTTGCCCTGTAGCAGCACCAGGGGTCCCTGGCAATGGGCCGACTTCGCGAGCTGAGACAAAAGCTCGTGCGCAAGAGAGACCGCAGAAAGCCGCAGGCTTCTTCCCTAAACCCTAAACCCTAAACCCCTAATTGTCCAAATCGGACCCTTCCGAGGGCCGTGGCCTATGGAGGAAGCCTCGGAGGCGGAGGGCGCCTTTCCTCACCGAGAGCGCTCCAACCACAACGGAGGGGGGCTCAAGAATTAGAATGGGGTTTTGGGCTCCTTTATAGGACCAAAAATAAGGAACCCTAACAGTAATATCGGTAACTATTTAGGCCCCTATACTACCATGGTCACCTCCGCATGCCTTTGCAACTGCCACTTCGGTCTTGTGGGGCCTTTGGACACTGCAGTATCCACGGTCGAGGATGTCGACGTCGTCTTGCCTGGGATCCGAAAAAGGCTCGAGATCAGCTTGGCTGAAGCGAATCGAGGGCGGGGCTTGCAGAAACCATTTTCTCATTCCGCACACAGTTCAAGAGACCAAGGCCATCAAAAAGGCCTGAACCCTTTGGGTTCAGGCGCAGTCTTGGCTTCTTGGCACTGTACTTGCTCGTGCTGCGGGCCGTCCTCTCTAGGAAGGCCTGAACACTCACTGACACCCGAACTCACGGCACCTCACAACATGAGGGGCCACTTCCACGAGGGAAGCCGAGCCCGGGACGACTGCCAAAGTCAAGAGGATTCGTTGTACAAAGTTCTTGCGTGCACGCTGAGCAACTCAGTCGCCCAGGTGGCCATGCCGCGAGGGCATAATTAGAACGCGAACTTCAAAACTTAGGTGGGCAACTTGATGGCCCCTGATTGTGCAGAGATCAGGCAGGCGTTCCTTCACAGTGTGGCCTCCTCTGGAGCGTCAGACTCTGAGATACGCCTCTGTGCCCGAAGGTCTCCATGCGCAATGGCCACTGCTGCCGAGTGGTACGAAGGGTTGTTCTTGAGCAGGTAGGAGGTTAGAGTGCTGTGCTTGCGGCATTCCTGCACACAGGTGTCCCAGCTTGAGTCCCCAGCTGAAGTTTGGCGTCGGCTGCAGCAGCAGCAACAACACTCACGAATGGCAAAGACAAACGGGGACAGGAAGGGCCTCAAGAGGAGCTTGTAGCTCCAAAGGAGGACGTAGTACACCACGAAGGCAACGAAAGTACAGAAGATGAGCCAAGAGCCTTCCCTGGCCATGTCCATCATGCGGGCTTCGTAGTAGTCCCACTGCATAGCAGGCTTGTCACGAGCCGGTGCTGCATTGTAGCTGGTGATGATGTTCTCATAATCCTCCTTGGACTTGCCGAATATTATCTCCACAACAAAGAAGAGCCTGCTCCACTCACTGGGAACGAGCTCCTGATTGCCTCGCAGCGGGGTCAGTGTTGTGCCATATGCCTAGTCACCTGTGCCAACCTATGCTCCCTTCCCCGACTTAGGAGTGCTAGTCTGCTAGTCTTGTGACGAGATGCCCCAGCTCCAACCAGCAATCACAGTGTGGAAGAAAGCGGCAAGGGGAAGGAAGTTCAAGCAAGTATGGACGATGGCCTGGTTGTAGGCAGGTGGCTTTGAGGAGCCATGCAGCAAACACCACTTGTCCAACCAGAAGGCCACAATGCTGTAGACGAAGCCAACGAAGTACAGTATTGGCATGCCGCCAGAATACATGCAAATCACGAAGATCACCGTCAGAGTCTGTGCCATGCGCAGAGACAGGTTCCACTTAGGAAGCTGATAGATCCTTTGCAAACGTGCCTCCACCACCTCGCCCCTGCCGAAAATGCACTGCAAACAAGGGCCCACCACGAAGGCCATGATCAAGGGCGGAACCGTCGTGCTGAAGACTTGCATGAAGATGGTGAGGCAGATGCCGGTGCCGACGGAAATGTACCAAGAGACGGATAGCTCGTCAAACTGCCCGGTACCGATCTGCAACACTCGCAAAGGCATCAGGACTTCCGGGAGGTCCAAGGAGGCGTTCACAAGCAAAACCAACAAGCCTGTGTTGACCATCTGGGCCAAGAAGAGCTTCCAGAACTGACTCTGCGCCACCTCCGTGACTGTGCAGTGTCTCTCAAAGGCCACAAGGAACTCGTAGATCAGCAGAAGGAGCTGGTTGATCACCAAGACGGCGGCTGCGGCCCCGATTACCTTCGCAATCTTGAGGCTGTTGTCGACGAGCCAATCTTGACACACCAGCTTCTCCTGTGGGCCCATCTGCTGCTTATGGCTTTCAAGCGGCATGGGGCCTAGGGGGGTTCGACTCGCAATGGAACATACTCTGAAATTCAGGGAGAGGACGGTCTAAAAGTGAGGATCCCGGGATCCATCACCTGCTTCAGCCCTCTGACTACGTACCGGACCGTCCACTCCTTCCGTGGCTTGTTCTTTCCGGGGCACTACATTGACATCATGTATGGCGTGCTTTGCATAAACTTGCTTGCTGTTGCTGCTCCCTTGTTGGAGTTGACATGTCTGCCTCGATCCCCACCCGACAGTTGCTTTAGGACCCAACAACACACGACCGCGGCTTCAGTAAGACCAAGCTCTCGTGTACAAGCCCTGGGGAAGTCCTCGGTGTCGTAGGGGGGAAACAAGAATTCCGGCCCGACGTTGAGGACCTGCTGCTGGCAGAAGCAATTGATGATGGGGTTCGACACACGCTCTGTGGAACCCTCGTCGAAGCTGGCCCATCTCTCTTGCGCGACATGCAGCTCGATATCAAGAGAGCAGGACATATCCGCTGAGATCTTGTTGTCACGGGCGGTCCAGGTTCCAACGACTGGTGTGAGGGTGTTGGGGTACATCGGAGCACAGTTCTCCTCGACCTTCCAGCAGCCACGCTCAGCCACCGGTGGGGGAGCCACAGGACACCCAAACACCTGCACCTCCCTGGCCTGTGCTATCATGGTGGCCTGCCAGCACTGCACCTGCTGCGTGTCTGCGAACTCGAAGCCAATCCAGTTGATCGAGCCAGAGTCCCCGTCACAGCCGGAGACCTCCGCGAGGCGAGTTGCTGAAGTGCAGCTGGATGTCCAGGGGTTCGTGCAAGTCCCACTCCAGGCATAGCCGTCGTCATAGTCGGTGAACTGGTCGAAGACCTTGACGGTGTCCCAAGTCTTGGACGTGTCCCCGTTTGCGGAGCAGAGCCTGTCCGAAAAAAGCTCCACATCACAGAAATTCAGGCACTCAGTGCCGTTCCCCTTGATCACCCAAGCGACGTTCTCGTTGAGGCTTGCAAGGGTTGTTTTGGAGAGCGACTGGAAGTACACAAGTGATGCGGCACAAATGACCAAGAAGACCAAGGTGAGCAACACCACGAAGCAAATCCGGCAACCTCGCTTCCACCAGGCAAAGTCCAGGTTCTCCCAGTACAGGTCACTGGGCTCGCAGGCGTTTTGGACCTTCAGCGTGTTACCTTCGAACCTCCGAGGCTCGCCTTGGCAGCAGCGGAACAAGCTGTACTGAGAGAAGCGATACTCATCAAGCACGGCGTTCTTGTAGGTCTCCTTAGCGAAGATCACGAAGGCACGCACCACACCACGATCATCGTCACTCTTGTCTGCTTGAGATCGGATGCTGTTATCCATTTTCATCATTTTGTCATATTTCTTGTGCGTCGCCTTCTCCAGCTTCTGGTACTTGGCCTTGCTTGCGGCGTCATCCTTGCCTTCCAGAGCCTTCATCCGGATCACATCTCCATGCTCGGCGAGGATTAGGTCGCCCTTGGCCAGGAATGTGCTGATGGCACCCGCGTAGTCTCGCACAAGGCACACCTCGACGACGCCGTCGCCATCGTCGAAACCCAAGCGCTTCAGAACACCCAGGAAGTGGTTCTTCAGCTTCTCCTGCATCTCAGGATTCTACAAGAAGCGCCTGTTCTTGCCACGAATCCCTCTGCTGACTCTACTGCGTGAGGGCAGCATCGCCAACACAAGAAACTCGCCTCAGCGCGCGACACCGCCGACAGGCAGCCTCCTTATCCTAACACACCACACCGACCACCCCAGTGCGTGCGAGAGGGATCCTGGTACTGCTTGTGGCCGTCTTTCAGCTGGTAGGGCAGGACAGTGATGTCAATTGCAAAGTCGGACGGGGTCAGATTGGCATCGTCATTCAACCTAACCATGCCTCATTCAGAGGGGGGCGAATCGGGAACTCCCTTCGACTTCTGATGACAGGTGCAGATGATGATAATGACAACGGTGCTGCTGCTGATGATGATGACTATGACTATTGTCATGGGAATGGTGGTGCTGACCATGCTGGTCATGATGCCCATGCCGATGGCCATGATGGCCATGATGCTCATGACGGTCATGATGGTCAAGACAGTCACGATGGTCATGATGATGATGGTGATGGTGATGGTGAAGATGGTTATGATGATGACGATGCCGAAGATGATGATGATGATGATGCTGATTCCGATGCTGATGACGATGATGGTGATGGTGGTGATGATGATGATGATGATGATGATGACGATGATGATGATTCTGATGCTGATGACGGTGATGATGATGATGATGATGATGGTGGTGATGATGATGAAGATGATGATGATGATGATGATGACGGTGATGACGATGATGATGGCAGTTGTGACTTCGGGGGATCATCACGATCAGGCTCATAAATGTGGTCAGACAACGATGAAGGCTACGCTAGTGGCAATCACAATGTCAGTGACAATGACAGTTGGAAGGGCGACACCGCGAATAGGGATGCTACTATCAAAGTGTTATCATGCTTGTGGCGAAGCTTACAATAGCAATGATGAGGATAACACCATGATTATGCGAGTAATGTGACCGTGATAACGACACCCGTTACAACTATGCAAGCACTACTGCTGTTGAAACTGAGATTGGTAGGGCTGCTATTGTACAAATTCGGCTTCTAGCCTAGCAAGGAGCAGCAACCACGCAAAACGTTGTAGTAGCGATGACCCATCATCCCCACCCCCCTGTCATAACCATGATTATCATAGGTTCCGCTGTGGCGCGAGGGATGTGGCATGCTTGAAAAGAGATGCCCCAGGCGAGGACCAACAGGATACCGATACCATCCTTGGCGTCATGCGGGGAGAGTGTGGCGACAGCGCTTGTGTAAGAGTCATGAATCTGCAGTCCAAGCGAAGGTTCCCCATTTGCTGAAACTCCCTGATAAAATGAAGCAACAATGCTACCCACATCATACATATAAATACATACACATACACATACAGCCACAGACACATACACCTACATGGCATGCACATATACATATACAAGTAACAAGTATGTGTATATATGTATATACACAGTCATACAAACACACATCTGCAGATGCTTATGATTACCTCAATGATTATGCACCGGCATATGTATGCATACACATAGATCTGCACCTAAAAATAATCATATATACATACCTATGAATACACACATACATACATACATACATACATGCATGCATGCATGCATGCATGCATGCATGCATGCATATGTATATATATATATAGTCATACATACACAGACTTACTTATATATATATACATACATATACATGCACGTACAATATACATACATATACATACATATACATACATATACATACATATACATATAAATATACATATACATCTACATATACATATACATATACATATACATATACATATACAGAAACATATACATAAACATATACATATGCATATACTACATATACATATACATATACAT